TCAGCATAATGCCAGATGACAAACTGCTTCTCAACTCCCGCAGAGGATGGAATGGCATGTGCAGGCAAATATCTGCCCAGTTCACATATAAAATGGGATGGGAGTGACATTTTTTTACAGAGAAGGAATATCTCCCATGCCATGTTCTTTGCTTTCCTCTACTGCCTTTGACATGCTGGCTGGGGATGATGGGAGTTGCAGTCCACCAACATTTTAAACATAAACGTGGCAGATTGCTCTATGTATCTCACCGGTGGTTGAGACTAAAAGTCTGCACTTGGGGCAATAATGAGAGTTTGCTCTTTATTTCAAGTATTGAGCATCTCAGCCTCCACAGATGGAGGTCCTGCAGGGTCAGGGGTATAATTCCTTTGGGTCTCGAATTCCATTGGCCTATAACTCCCCATCAGTTGCATGGAGCATGGCCAATCATAAGGGAAAGTGGGAACTATAATCCAAAACATATGGAAGACCAAACGTTTCCCAGCCACAGGCTAGGTGGTGCAAAATGTCAGTGTATGCAGAAGACACAGCTTGGAGAAGGTTTGCTTGTTTGTTTCTTTGCTGGATCAGCTCCCAGAATGCTCCAGCCAACAGGGCCAGTGGGGGACTCTGCGAGATGCCAGTCAAAGCAGGAACATTTCCAAGCTCAAAGAGAAAGAAACACACAGACAACCCTACTAAAGACTTTGCGATATACAACCCTTGCAACTCTCTTGCCATAATGGTAAGGGATGCTTTTCCACGGCAATTAAAAATATAAATTAAAGCATCAGGAATGCAGTATAATAAACCAGTTGTCATTTGCTGCCACCTCTATTCTGGATTACAAAGCATCGGATTTGGCTTTGTAAACTATAAACAGTTTGTTTTACAATATACAATATTGTATGTATTCAGCCTTCACAATACTGGCAGGAAGGACACACAATCATTTTTCCCTCCCCATCCATAGTGCACTAGAGTTAGATGCAGCAACAGATCCTTCTAAAAAGGTAAATAACTGAAGAAGCAGATGCTGTCCACGCAGCCTTCGCTTTAAAAAACGCTGCTTACTAGACTCCCCAAGGGCACTCCCCAGAGATGATGGCATTTGTTGGACTTCTAATTAAAAGGAAGGAAGGAAAAATGTTACACTGAACCTGACACCAGGGAGGCTGATCCTCCCTCTGCCAAGCCAAGTTGTTTTGTTCACAAAAGAATCTTACCACTGGGCATTCCAGTAATAAAGCATCCTCTATTTTTTGTGATTTAGGGCATGCTGGCATTTGGTAAATAATCCTCGGCTCTTGTGTGATGCTGAGAGAGAGAGAGAGAGAAAAGAATTCAGTTGTATCACTTCCTATGCTATCATAAACCACTGCCAAGTCTCCCTGCATCCTGCCTTCAGGTCCTTCCCCACACTTGGTGGTGATTTGTCCTCACCTGTCTCTCCCATCCTTCTAGCAAAAGGTCCAGCTGTAGCCTGGCCATTTGCCATCACATATAAAGAGACTGGGCTGCAGAGCCAGGGGTTGGGGGTTCCAATTCCCCAATGTGGCTCCTGGGAGAAGAGCCACCCTATGTAGCCTTGGGCAAGCTGCACAGTCCCAGGGCACCCATGAAGAAGGGAATGGGGAACCACGTGTGTATTCTTTTCCTGGAAAACCCTGAAATAGGGTCACCATAAAGCAGAACTGAGTTGGCAGCATGCAACTATTATTATATAAAGATTGCTACCTTATATATATATATGGTAGCATACATATATACGGTATACATATATATAATCATTGTTAATACTTGTTGGACAGTTGAGATATGAGACAGTGAAGGGAAACCCTGCCCTCCACCATTGTTCAGCAACCAGAAGAAAATGACAGGACTGTATTTGAATATATGTAGATGATTGTACATGAAAAAAATAAAACATCCCCTGAAAATAAGCCCTAATGTGTTTTTTGGAGTAAAAATTAATATAAGACCCTGTCTTATTTTGGGGGAAACACGGTATACATATATTCTCTCATATATATTTTCTCATCTCTCTCTCTCTTAACTGTCCAACAAGCATTAACAGTGATTAGGACAGAAGAAGTGCCCAAAACATAACGGAAGGGGTATGGCTGTCAGCCATTTGTGTCTCTGCCTCCACTCCCTTTTCATGTGAAAGGCTCAAACTGTTTCAGCTTTTCCATGAAAAGGAGAGGTTCCAAATTCGTTTGCTTAGGAAGGAGCATTCTGCAGCATTCCAGTCTCTTGTGGTGCTGCAGAGAATTTATCCCATCCTGTGGCTGTAATCCCAGGCATAACTATTTGGAATGAAGTCATCTAGTGAGAATGGGGAATGCCCCATAGCCAGCAGAGCCACTGATGAGGAAAAATGGGATCTGTACTGCTACATTAAAAGAAGAAGGTGGTACTTTATATAAAGGGAGCAACTATATTTATTTATTTATTTATTTAATTTCTATGCCGCCCAATCTATTTGGCACCAGCTGTTTAGACTTTCTGACTGTTCATACAGAAGTTCTAAGGTGCTTCTTTGAACTAGCCATTCTCCACTGTTTTTGAAGACTCCATTTTACCAATATGTCTGCATGAGACAACTTTATAAGAAGTGAAAGAATAAATACCGATTTGTTAAAAAAAATCATAACATTACCTGCTCACACAGCAGCGATAATTGTCAAAATAAACCTTTCCACTTTGATAAACTATTGGAGATGTAGAATGAGTTGTCCAAACTTTCTTGAATGTTGTACTTTCCTGAAATAAATCACAGGGTTCTGTAAAATCGTCTGGCTTAAAAAGATAGAACTAAAATGACAGTATCAGTCAATTATTTCTATCGTTTTGCTGTGAATGCAAAATACTCCCATTTTACCTAAAGGTTCCTAGAAACGCAGATTCATTTACATGATTTTAAATAACCATAAATGATCATAAATGTGTGTTATTTTTCCCCTAACATTAACTATATATATATATTGCAACAATTAGCTATCTCTATAAGTGCTAATGTTAATGAACAGGAGTTTGACCTTTAAATGTAATGTCATAATTCTTAATTGTGATAAGAAGGGGGAAAAAAGGAAATGCAGAAATCAACAATTCAGAGAAGCATTTCTCCAGGATGTATACTGAGGGCTGGGAATAACTAATACCAAACCATTCGCAGGGCTAATGATAGGACATTTGGGAGTCACCCATTTATTGGGCTGCTGTAGGTTGGAGGCAACTTATGGCACATCAAGAACAGCAAAAAGGGACCTTTGGCACAGCTTTGCAGCCAATGAGTCTGCAGTCTTGAACTTGTATTCCCAAGACTGTGACTCCCACCAACTTCACATACTAAACATTTTTGACCTAGAAGGCATTTCAGGGTTGGAAACAGTGCTAAGTCCATGCATGGATGATTAGAAAACATGATCTACATGTGGATTTCCATTTGAGTTCCTACATAACAAACTGAACTGTGGACTTTGGTAGCTGTTACCTGACATATCAGCTTCCTCAGGATTCCCATGTTTTTCCTGTAAACAACGCCAGCATCTTTGGTGTAAAATCCCTGTGACCTTCTGGTGAGCAGGCAGCAGACACTGTGGATTTGAAAGGAGTGCCGTCTTGCTGTGGCAGATGAGGAAGAGGAGCTGGAAAACATCGTGATGAAACATCCAACTTGTGCTTTGGTTACAACTCATTCAGAGGGTGCCCTTCAGCATTCAGTTCCCTCAATTAAAAACAGAAGAGTTGTCACATGAGTTAAGTCTTTGTACAAGAACACACACGTTTTGGTGAAAACTCAGTCCTATTTTGCTCCAGAGCGACTATGCTCTCAGAAGCTACAATCCTACCATCCCTTACTCGAGTGTAAGTCCCACTGAATGCCGTGATGGTTCCGATGGAAGAGATGGGAGTCTTGGAGAACAATTATAACATGTTGAGTCCACTTTCACTGCCACTTCTCATCTCTTGCAGAAATGTTTTTCTGTCCATCCCTGAAATAAAGCATAAAATTCACCAAACTACTGTACATGCCTATGCCCAGATTCTTCAGGATGGAGCCACAACTATTAAAGTGCAATCAAACTGCTAGAACAGCATAGTGCAGATGATCTGAACCTGATTAGAAGACTCCACACCCTTTGGTTATTGAAAGGGTGGCTCAGAGGCAGAGAGGGTGACCTCCCTCCCCAAAAGTGATCTGCTGAGCCTTCTAATCAGACCACGTTGTTTTGACACTTTCATCAACCCAAAACATTTCTCTCTCCCATCTTCACCCCATCCATTGACCTACTTTTAACCTTGCCAGTGGGATCTGGTACAAAATCTGCCATTTTCCGATGCACTTACTTGGGGGGAAAAACCTGAACAGATTGAGACTAACTTCGGAGGAAGCACGCATAAGGTAGGGCACGCATTTCACTCGCCATGAGCATTTATTACATCTGTGATGAAGGACAGGGTGGCTTTGAGAAACACCCCAACAGTGCAACTCTGGCCATTTTCCGATGCACTTACTTGGGGGGAAAAACCTGAACAGATTGAGACTAACTTCGGAGGAAGCACGCATAAAGTAGTGCATGCATTTCACTCGCCATGAGCATTTATTACATCTGTGATGAAGGACAGGGTGGCTTTGAGAAAAACCCCAACAGTGCAACTCTGACCATATTTGCTCAGAATTATGCCATATTCAGCCTCAAGGGGTACGATCCACTCAATCTAGCAAAACTTTTGAGTTAAAAGGCACAAGCGATGCAGCCTTTTGAAAGGAGGGAGGCTTAAACACCCCATTCCCAGACTGCACATTTGTTTCTTGTTTAGTCATTCAGTCTAAGTCGTGTCTGACTCTTCGTGACCCCATGGACCAGAGCATGCCAGGCCCTCCTGTCTTCCACTGCCTCCCGGAGTTTGGTCAAATTCATTTCGGTAGCTTCAATGACACTGTCCACCCATCTTCTCCTCTGTCGTCCCCTTCTCCTCTTGCCTTCAAACTTTCTCAACATCAGGGTCTTTTCTAGGGAGATTTCTCTTCTCATGAGATGGGACTCTCAAGAGTCTGCTCCAGAACCACAATTCAAAAGCATCAGTTCTTCTTTATGGTCCAGCTCTCACTTCCATACATTGCTATTGGAAAAACCATAGCTTTGACTATGTGGACCTTTGTTGGCAAGGTGATGTCTCTGCTTTTTAAGATGCTGTCGAGGTTTGTCATCACTTTCCTCCCAG